CTAATCCACAGGAATCACTTTAACAAAGGTCACCAGTGACAGAGTTGCCAAATTCAACTTCTCTATTCAGTCTTCATGTGATTAGGATCTTTTTTGGCAATTGACACACACACATCCCAGCCCTTTCTGCAATGTGTTATCTCCCTTTTGTCAAAATTTTTACTGTCACACTTTCCCTACACTACTCATTGCTGTGTGCCTCTTGTGTGAATATCTCAATCTCTGTTCCTTTGAATATTGGTAAAAACCCAGGTGCTAACTTTTAGTTTTGTTCTCATTTCCTGGATGACCTTATCCAACCCAATCATTTCAATCATGACTTTCACTCAAGTGACTTTCAGATCTCCACACCAGCCCAGGCGATGATCCTGAGATGCATAGACTGACACTCAACTTCCAACTGCCTGAAAAACTCTCAAGTCAACCTCCCTACTGGAGCTCAAGAGGCAGAGGTCTAGCTTTGAGCACAAAAGCTCCAGGACAGCAGCCAGATCTAGAGTTGAAGCCCCACCACTAGCACAAAACAAAACTAAACAAAACAGCCTCCCAAATGGAAGTACCTTATCTTTCTCATATTCTTTTTCTGTGGGTCATAATCATATTCCTCTAATACAGCCAGAACCTCTCATTCCTTCATCCACTCTCCTTGTCCACTTACTGTGCATTCTTCTAACTTTTTTTTCCATCTTCATTGCCACTCCTTAATGAACATTCTGCCATCCTTCCATTATGTGGTAGGATCACCTCTTTAATAGTCTTACTTCTTTTGATTCTCCACATTCTCTGCCCCTCTACTGTGGCCTTCATATTGTTGCCAAATGTCTAAAGCATATTTTATGACTCCTGTTTTATGTGGGAACTTTTTGGCAGAGGCAGCACTGAGGTTGGAATATAGAGCCAAGTACTTGCTAGGCCAGTGTTCTGCTGCTAAGCCACATGCCCAGCACTTTTATGCACTGGCTATTTTGAGATAAGATGTCACTTCCTGCCTAGGTACCCAGGTACATGCCTGGACAGAGACCTGACTATTTTATACTTTTCATAGCAGCTGGGATGACAAGTACTCACGACCACAACCAGCTTTTATTCTGCCTGATCTAGCTTGGAACCACAATACTCTCATAATCAAAATTGTTTACGTATCTGTCTCCACCATACCCATTTACATTTTTTTTTCAATTTACAATTTCAAATCATGACATTTTTGCCTGCAACTCAGCATAAGCTAGATAATTTGTGGAATAAAACCGGTTAGCAAGAGTCATCCTTCAATAAAGACTCAGAGACCAGTAGAATTACATTATGTAAGATTTTAGAGCAGTGAACTAAGAATCAGCTATCTCATGATATAATTTGTCCAATTTAAATAATGCATACATAATTCACTTAGTTCTGTTCTTTTTCCTCTCATGCACTCTTTTAATACCATATTCCAACTCTGAATCATCTGTTGGCCTTTTTTTTTCCTTTTGACAGACCTATTAAGTATGACTTAAAAACCCCATTGCAACTGTTGGGTAAGTCTATGAACCTTCTATCCTATGAAAGGTCTTCTTGTAGACCCTTCCTGAAATTCTGCCATCCAGCTTTAGTAATCTGTCAATTCTATCTTCTATACATTGTGTCCTCTTTTCCATTTTCATTGTTTCTCTTTAATAGAAGTCCTGCTCCCACTGCATTACATGTTTGTATCAATCTCCAGGCAGGTCTCACCTCTTTTGATTTCCCACCCATCTAACGTACTCCATATTGTTGTCATATGCCAAGAGCACAACAATAAACAACTCACATTTATGTATGTTTTTCCTTTGATCTATCTCTTTTCAACCTCATAATAAAAGTAGATAGGTCAAGTTTTTACTTACCATTTTAAAAGTGAAAAAGTAATGCCAAGAAACCCAGAAAATACCCTTCGTTGATTCCTCTATACAAAAAGCCAGATAATTCTGTGTTTTCTGATGCCTAGTTTTCCTTTTTGTTTTGTTTTTTAATACATTTTACCAAAGTCGCACGCTATTCCTGCTCTTCCTCTGCTGGCACATTGACTTTGCTTTTCTCTTCCAAACTACGGCTTCCTGTTTGTGCTTGTACTTCCACCCTGCTCTTGGGATCATCAGCTGAACATTCCAAAGCAATCATTTCTCTCCCTTTTCCAACTCCATAATCTAAGGACTTGGACAACAGAAGCTGTGTTCTATGAATTTCACCCCAGAGCCCAATTCTCTCCAAATATCTAAATGAAACTTTTACCCAAATCCAGTTATCTTTCTTTTTTTCTCCAAATCCAGTTATCTTTCAGGTGGGCCTTTTTTTTTTTTTCTGACCTGAAGCCATCATCACTCGATTATAACCCAGGCAAGTTTTCTGTTTCTTTTCCTTTTCCTTTCATTGTTCTCCTCTACAAGCTGGCAAGGAAAATAAGAGTCTTTTTAACTTAACTATAACTAGTTTTTCTTTCAAAAATACTGATAAACGAGGGAGAGATAAACTACTAGGGATCATAAGGTTTAGAATCCCTTGTTGGTTGTTCCATACCCTTCACACATTTTCTCATATTAAGAAATGGCTTTCATGTCCTGCCTCTAACTTTAGCTGCTCTCACTCCCTTCCCACACCCTCCCAGGTGCTGTCCTTTGTGCCAGTATTCACCTCCTTTAATGGTAAGAAGCACTGGAAAGGGATAAATAGGCAGAAGTGCACAGAGAGTGGTTACTTTAAACTGTGTTCATAGGTGTTTGGCGAGACACCTCCTTGTCCCCAGGACAAGCAAATCTTTACCCTCAAAGACTAGAAAGTCACTTGTCCTTTGTCATCTTCTTACAAAAGGAGAGAAAAAGGGCAAAGGAGGAAACAGAGGAGAGAGAGGAGAGGGAGGGGGAAGAGAGGGGAAGAAAAGGGAGAAGAGGGAGGAAAAGAGAGAGGGAGAAAAAGAAGGAGAGGGAGGATAGAGGGAGAGGGAGAAGAATGGAAGAGAGAGGGAGGGAGAGAAAGAGGGGGAGAGAGAGAAAGAGAGAGAGAGAGAGAGAGAGAAGAAAAGCAACAAGAAAGCTTATAAACAAACAGATTCTGCCCCTCCCCAGACCATTAGGCCTCTAGGTCTCTCCTATGTCCAAAGGAACTTCTAATGGTCTCAGGAATGTCTGTCAGTCATCAGAAAGAATACAGCACATTTGAGCATTACCATTTCTAGCTAAAAGCAAGCTCACTAGCATCTTCCTGTGTATTTTATTATCCATCTTTTCAGAGGGAAAATTCAAACTTGAGACCTCAAAGAATAAAATTGAACGTGGTGTCTAAAGCTAATGCAATAAGGGGACATGATTGGCTGATACAGTTTTCCTGAACCTTCTGATTGTTGTCTCCCTGCTTCTATTCTGTCAGGGTATATATGTAGAGAATGTATGCTCATTCAAAGGAGTAAGAAGTCTGGTGGAAGCGACCAAGCACCTCTCCTACTGACAGTGATCTTTACCCATTTCAAAAAGACTCATTACTAAGAATTACTGTTACCAGAAGCTTTAGACTTTAGAAAAAAATTTATTCTACATATTGGCACTGAGCAGCTGGAGGATAAACTTTATCCTGTAACAGTGTTTTTTGATGTCCAAGAAGCAGCTTTCTGGAGAAGCCTGGAATACATTACTCCCAGGTGGGAGATAAAGATGTAAAATACATATTGAACTAATTATAACTAAAAAGTTATGAAATTAAACACAGCTGTTTGCCAAGGCTTTGCCCTGATTTACCCATTGACGAGGCTTCTGGGCATTTATACACAAACCTTTGATCTGATTCTCTTTCATTTCAGGCTGTCTTGGGACTTGTGGTGTAAGAATGGAAGATGAAAATCCATGGATGATGGGTGATATCTAGACCATAGATACTCTCTGGGTAAAATTCTCAAGTTTTCCCAATATGTACAAAAGAACAAGATCTAGCCTTTCTTCTCATGGACTCTCTGGTTAACCTATTTTGGCTACATAAATTTAAAAGACCCACCAGCCTAATTTCTAGCAAAACATAGTACCCTTTCACATCCTCTCCAGAATAAACAAAGTAGGTCAGAAATGTTGCTTCCTTCCTCCCCTCATTGATTTTCATTAAGCAGATGCACTTTCTGGAACACTAAAGAGAAAAGATAAACACCCAATACGAGTACCAAGGACACCCTCCCTGTAAATTTTTAGCACCTTGTCTCCTAAAAGCAGGAGAAGAAAAAATCTCATTACCTATAATACATCTTTCTTGGCTATAAATCAACAATCATCTTAAGATATAAAATATGGAGCTGCACGGCTTCAACCAGGTTACAAAATATCTCCCTAAAGGAGCATATTCTCTGTCTTTTCTAATTTTCTACCTCACCAACCAGCCTCTTCCCTAAATACAGTCTCCCCCGCCCCAACTTTATATCCCTATTTTGCCAGAAGAATGTCAAATGACACCAGACACTGGCTGAGCAAATCCCCAGGGCCTTATCAGGAAACCCAGACAGGAGAGCCAGGGTGAAGGCGCTGGCAGACCCAGAGGCGTGGAGAAAGGGGGCGGGAAGTGGGGAGTAGCGGGAAACCCTCTCGCGTGGGTATCCGTGCCTCTGAAAACGCTGAGACAGTTCTCCAAAGCCCACTGGTGGGGCTTCCCCGGTCTCCTCCCCTTCCTGAAAGCTCGCTCGCTCGCTCCCGTCCCCAGGTCCTGAACCCCCAGCTCGCTCCAAAGACCGCGCCGCGAAGTCCTTCAGGGCACCCCCCCCTCCCCTCCCCAACACAGAAGCGCGGACAGAAAAGCATCACCAGGAAGACAGCAAAGCCACACACCCTCTCCCGGCCGGCTACCAGGGGCGGGCAACTTCATCCTTTGACACGACCCCAGCAAAGCCAAGGGTGATGGCAGACAGACAGGAGCAGGCGCCCCACTCTCCCCGGCCGCCCTCGCCCCCGCCCCACCCCGCCCCACCCCACCCCCAGCAGCAAACTCCAGGTAAGAGACCAGGTGCCGCTCACCTCCTGGCAAGGAGGCAGCGGGCGGCTGGCGGCGGAGGGCAAATCCCCAGCCCAGGCCGCCTGGCAGCCGGCGAGCGCCCAGCAGCAGATCCAGGCGGGGCTCCAGGGCAGCGAGCGCCCGCGGAGCGAGGGACCCCCGGCCGGCCGCCCCCGGCCCCTGCTCCGCGCCAGATGCAGAGCGAGCGGCGGCATCTCCGTCCCGCCGCGGTGGACTGGCAGCGGAGCCGCCCGGCTGGATGGAGCCTCTCTCCGGGTGGAGCGGCCGCGACGGCTCCCGGGCCGCGAGGAGGGTGCGCTGGGCTGGTCGCGCGCCCCTGCCCGCTGCCGGCTCCGCGGCGCTGCGCTCGCTCGCTCGCTCTCCCGGGGCCGGGCCGAGGCTGCCGGCGCCCGTCTCCCGTCACGCCGGAGGGAGGGAGTGGGGAAGAGAGGGTGCGCGGGACGCGGGCGCGGCGCGGGGGCGGGACGCGGGGCGGGGACGCGGGAGTCGTGGAGCAGGTGGCGCGGACCCGGGCTGAGGCCCAGCCCTGCGGGTCTGGAGGGGCTGCCCGGCCACCGGGGCGGGAGTCGCGTGATACCGTAAAGCGCAGCCAGGAACCCCGAAATGTCTGTGTCTAGATCCTCCTGGCTCAGCCGGAGGGGCGCTTACAGCCTGGAAGCCAGCGTAAACACGGGTCATGTGGGCTCCAGCTTCTGACTGCTGGGCTTTAAATGCCTGCTGCCACAAACACCCACCCAGATGTGCCCCAGGAACCACCCCAGGGGGATCCTGTGGCTGGCGGGCCTCAGGAAATGGCGGGGAGGAAAAGAGGACTGCGAAGAGAGAGACAGACAGACACACAGACACACAGAGAGAGGATGTAACTGGGTTTTCTCGCCTGTTCAGTAAAGATAATTTTAAAAAAGTCCAGTAGGGTCGCTGTGAGCATTGACAAGGTACAGATAAAGCCCTTGAGTCCCCGGCACGTGGTAGGTGTGAAATGTGTTGCTGTGGTGCTGGGTGTTGATGCTGTTGCCTGTGGCGTATCACGGCTTTGGGCTAGAAAGTCAGCCTTTGCGTTTCTGGACAACCGGTCTCTCCTCCTGAAGAATGACTTCTCGTAGTCTGAATTAGGTGGTGGGTGCCAAGTGACTGGGGATATCTTCTTTGGTAGCAGAGCATCTTGATCTAAGCATCTTTGAATGAGTGAGTTGCCCAAATCAAAAGGTGCAACTCAAGTTTATCTGGAGAATTTATTAGCTGAAAAAAAAAATCTACCTGGTACACTAAATATAAATGAATCTGAAATTGTCAATGGAATATGTCTAGGTTTTCTTTTAATAATGTGTGATAGTCTCACACATGTACATATACATATGCACATCAAGGTCATAGACATCTAAGTCCATCCATACATGTCACATCCACATACACACACTTCTCACTTCAAGTCCAAAAAACCCAAGAAAGGGAGGTGACTACAGTGTCTTCTTAAATCATGGCTATGTTTACCTGAAGAATTTTATCTATGTTCTCATAGCTGCTGCCTCATGTTGGTTCATTTACTGTATCTTATGTGTTTCCTTAACAATACCCACTTTTAATGTACAATCTAGCCACAATGGGATCTTGGAAATGTTTCAACTAATCTCTAGCAAGGTATATTAAACAGGACAAGAAGGGTACAAGAGAATCCACCTTCTTACCACTTAACATATCAAAGCACTCTCATTTGTGTATTAAAACTTCAATCTCCAAGTCATGGTCCTTTTTTTTTCTAGTTTGGTAACAACCCCATCTTGCTATCCTAAAAATATGTGGTGAATTATGAAGGTAACTACCACCAATCTATCATATATTAAAAACTAAGGGATTGCTATTCAGCAATAAAAAGGAATGAGGTAGTGACATATATTTTAATTCAGATGAAGCTAAAAAGCATTATGCTAAACCAGTGTCAAAAGATTGCCTATTGTATCATTGCATTTACATGGCATTCTCAGAAAAGAAAAGCTTATAGTATAGAAATCAGTGATCGTCAGGAGCTGGAGAGGAAGGAGATGAAACCTTAGGACACAAGGGAGAATTTTAGAGGCAATGAACCTGCTTTTAACAGGTATTTGAATTCTACACATCTGTTACAACTTTTAGAATTTTAGAGGCAATGAACCTGCTTTTAACAGGTGTTTGAATTCTACACATCTGTTAAGACTTTTAGAAATATACACCAAAATATCATTTTACTATGTTCATTTCAAAATTACATTTTTAAAAAATAAACTGTAAAATTTAATGATACTATTACCAACCACTAAAACACACAATATGGTAGATTTTATAGATGTGAGGTATTTATTATTTGAAAAAGAGCTAGAGAACCAAGAGAGGGAAAATATTAATAAATAATCATATAAATAGAACAAGGAAGAAAATATGAACACCCTATAATAATTTTTTTCTGTAATCACTCTTAGAATTTCTTGGAGTTGGTAACTTTTTCTCCATGTGCCTATGTGCTCTGTCATTATCAGATCCAGGCAAGATTCTCTGATGAGACAACCTAAAACTTCATTTGTGAGTTATCAGAGTCTAACTGATTCTAACTATAGAGTTGCTGTAGTCTTCCATTACTTCCAGAGGAGTGTCTGGGCTCCATCATAGACAATGAGAAGAAACTATCAGAGTAAGCTTTGTCATCCCACTTTCCAATCCATTTATAAAATGAGCACCAAATCAACTTGCGATTTTAATGTCCAGTTCAATTTTGTCCTCTGGAGGAACATTTCTCTCGTGAGTGCTAAGACCTTAAATTCTGCTCTTGACAACTCCTTCACTATGTAGCCAAATTTGACTACCACCTAGGAATTGTCTGAATCTGATACTAGGTCGTTGTCTCCTGGGCAGAGGACTCTGTTGTGCCCTCTGGAGGAGTTCCTTTCTCCATTGCTCCTCAGGGTCACTCATGATTTATTTGTTAATCAATACCAAAGCAGGGAGCTGGTCCTGCAGTTTTTGAAAACATAGTTCTAAGTCTAGAAAGCATAAACAAACAAACAAAAAGGAAAAACTGAATCACTTAGAAGCAAAATGAGATAGAAAATGTCAACACAATTTTTCCTGTAAGACATATTGTTCAAAGAATGCCTTACAGACTTGTTTATTTACCCAATTTTTGCATACCGATCACCTATTACTGGGGGAAGGCACATGGCCAATATTAAATCTGTGTCATTAGAAATCTTGTGACTTAACAGCTCTTTAATCATTTCATCAGTGTTCCTATTTTGAAAGAAATGCAAGTATAATTGCATGTACACGTTCTGCAAATTTATTTCCCTGAATATCTCAGATAAGATCAATGAAAGAAATATATTTTAGCCCTTAAAGGTCAGGGATATGTGATTCTTACTTAGTGGGAGATACTTCAGTCAAATAAACTGAAAGAAAGATTAGATGACTGGGCATAAGGGTTTTTTTTTTTTTTAAGAAAGGTTTTAAATGCTAAGTACTGTAAGGAAGTCAATAGACTTAGAACCACAGAACCTTAGAGAAGGATTGGCCTTTAAAGTTCACTGAGAAAATCCCATCTCAAATTCCTGCCACCTTTCTCTCACAGCCCTCCCTGAATGACTTTTCAAGAAAAGAAGAAAAGAAAAACTAGAAGCCCTTTGTGACTATCTTTGGAAGGTAGGAAGTGGCCATCCTACCTTTGGACAACTCTCACAGGAATAGAAGCTCTCAAAGAAGTGGAAGTATGGGCTGGGAAGGTGCTCAGTGATAGAGTGTTTGCTTTGCATGCATGAGGCCCTGGGTTCTGTTCCTCAGCATCACATAAGCAGAAAAAGCCAGAAGTAGCACTGTGGCTCAAATGGTAGAGTGCTAACCTTGAGTTGAAGAGCTGAGGGACAGCCCAGGTCCAGAGTTCAGGCTCCACAACCGACAGAAAAAAAAAAAGTGAAAGTATGTACTCTGTGTATAATGCTAAGGTCTACACAGGGCCAGACTAGTTCCTTTTCCCGTGACAATCTCTCAGATAGCTTCCTTCCTTTATAAACTTCTCTTCTCTAGATTAAAAATAATTTCCTCCATTATTTTTCACATGATCTGACAACTACCTCAATTTTCCAATATGACTCTTAAACATTACAGGCAAATGAACATAATACACAAGTTTAGTCTGTGTAACAGTACAGTGAATATATAACTTCCCTTATTCTAGAGAGATTATAATTTGTATATTTGCAATTTAATAGCAAGGTGGATTCTGAAGTAGTCACCCTAATGTTCAATATGATTGAAAACATTCATTAGGAGCTCACTAGGTGTCAAACATCTCAAACATCTCAACTAGGGTATCATATCATTTACTTTTCATAGCAACTGCCAGTGAGGTAGGTATTTTTTATTCCTGTTTTCAAATGAGGAAAATGAAGCTTAAAAAGGATAAACATCTTTTCCAAGGTCAAATATCCCATGAGTGACAAGTTTGATTTGAAGCCCAAGATTTCTGGAGATGTAATAAGTGGAATCTACCAAGCCCTTGCTATTTGCCAGCACTGTGCCAAGTCCTTGTTCTCAGTGGGAATAATTATTTCCATTTCATATACAGAGAAATAGAGGCATGGCTGCTCATCCATTAAAAAAGGAGCTTATCTGAATAAGTTGATTTCATATGCTCAGGTTCAAGATCTCACCCGTTAAAAAGTTAATTGTTCTGGATTCTTAAAAATTGGTCTAGATTTGGTGCATCATTCTATGCTGTCAATGGTTTTTGGCTCCTGAATACATCGTCTCAAGTAATTTGATGCATCCTATTTTTTTATAACTGCAAATCTTAGAAGAGCATCTATGTCTTTAAGTTAAGACCTAGGAAAAAGTAATCCAAACGCCTGCAAAAACCTCTTTTTTCAGATGCCATCAATTTATTTAAAAGCATCCAGCCTGCCGGGCGCTGGTGGCTCACGCCTGTAATCCTAGCTACTCAGGAGGCTGAGATCTGAGGATCGAGGTTCAAAGCCAGCCCGGGCAGGAGAGACCATGAGACTCCTATCTCAAAAAACCACCAGAAAACCGGAAGTGGCGCTGTAGCTCAAGTGGTAGAGCACTCCCCTTGAGCTGAAGAGCTGAGGGACAGCGCCCAGGCCCAGAGTTCAAGCCCCACGACCGACCAAAAAAAAAAAAAAAAAAAAGCATCCAGCCTGTAATACACTGTCCAG